CGACAGACGATCCGATTCCGTCTCCAGTACGGCCGATCGGTGCTGGAGCACTGGAGGGGATCGGCACGAAGACTGGACCGGCCGAGGCCGTCCAACGACGCGATGGAGGACGGACCGGCCGACGCCCGCAACGGTCGGGTGTCTACTGTCACTCAGTTGTGTTGTGTGTCGGTAGTGCATCAGGTGTGGGGGCATTCGTGTCGTTTGTTGTGGGTAGTCGGGTAGACGTATTGCTGGTATTTGATGCTACTGTAGGTATTGATGTGCGGTGCACAATGTATAAACATTGTAAGGCAACTTGTCTCCGGTAGTTTGTTAAACATTTGTACCTGCTACCTATATATTAGACTACTTGTGACATTTTTCTGTCTCAAATTGCCGCCCGATATCCTACCTTTTGATTTAGGGGACGGAGTCTTTGGGACTCAATTTTTGTCAGTCACCTAACGATCAGTGATTACCTCCCCACAAAGCGGCCCGTTTGGACCCTCCCGGCTAATTCCCATCACCCACCGCCTGACCCGTGTATTACCGTCCCCTCAGAGCGGCGCCACGCGTGCCAGCGCTGTGGCCAACAACTGGGCTCACTCCAGGAGCAGATCGTGCACGTGCACACGGTGCACAAGGACAGGGGCTGGTGCAAACGGTGCCGGACCGAGTTTCCCGATCAACGGTCCCACCTGGAGCACCGCGCCCGGTGTCGGCGGACCAACGGTCAGAGGCAGAGAGGGGGTATATTCGGGGTTGGATTCGTCGGTTTCGATTATGATCCCAGTTCATTAAATATGTCGGCATTTTTTTAGGGTACATGAGGGTACGTACCGTTTAGTCTTTTTTTTTGGGGGGGGGGGATGGAATCATGTGTCATAGAAAGTGATGGATTTTGGTGTTCTGACTTTTTATATCCCGTTTCAAATTCATGTTTTGAACAGCCTTCTTTTGTGGTGCATGGAGCAGCCCATTACAATTAATCATAGATGGGTTATTAATGCTGAATTAAATAAAAGTACTAATCTGATGCAACAGCTTGTCCGTTGTGCTATGGTTGGTACATTGTCCCGGAGGCTGACGACATTCGGAAAGCTCGCCAGTGCTTATTGCCATTGTGTGTGGTCAACCGGCCCGCTCTGCTGTGGATTGTTTCTATACGGTCGGGTGGGAGCGTTCCAGCGCCCGGGTAACTCTTCCTCGGTTATTTGTAAGTCAATGGTCCAGGTGCTGCAGAGCGCCGTTGAGACCTCACCGCATGTCTGTTTATTACTGTTAACTCTCGTCAGCAGGGAGGGGGGGGGGCACTCCCCCGACGGTTTTTTCAGGACTTCACGGACCAACCGGCGATAGGAAGCTGAAATTTAGCACGCCAAACATTTGAATCAAGCCGGATCGTTTGACTCAAACTTCATTTTCAGGTCAGGTCGGGTCACTGACCTAAGACGTAACAAGTGAACCTCTGCACGGTCCTAAAATGTCGCCACTTCACAACGCCCCCAGTGTCCTCGGTGCCGGCCGCTGCCGCCGCGCCGTTCGTGCGTCATCCGACCCCACCGACCGCCGCCGCCGCCGCCTCGGCGCTCCATGGATACGCGCCGTGAGTGAACAAATGGCCGGAGGTTGAGGAGTTGAAGGGTTGTGAAAGGTGGGTGTCGACCTTTTCCAGATTTGACTTGTATCTGTTGTGGGTATGGCGGAGAACCAGCCATTCCTATGTTCAACTGGTCGTTTGAGATGTGCTGACTAAAATCAGTAAACGGTGAGAGCCCATTGCGTTGGATGAGAAGTACCTGCATGCTTCCCTGTTCTCCATTCCCACCTACCCTGGTCTGACGGTACTGTGACCGGTATGTGACCTGTCGTTCTGTCCCAGACCTATGACCGTAATATAACTGTGCTGTTCCAGGTGTTACCACGACCCGCTGATGGCTAACCCGGTGGTAACCACGCATCTACAGGTAGGTGACAGAAATATCCAACTGGTGACGGGGAGGGGGCTGCTGCTGGGGGGAGGGGATCCGACCGGGAGGGGCTGCACGGGGGGGGGGGGGGTCCTCTGATTAGCTATCGGCGATAGCTGATGATGGATGGGTTTTTGTCGCGTGATAGAAAGAATTGTGACCCATCCATCAGTATCCATACCGTAAACGGGGGTGACTTTGCCACGTTTTCGACTTTGAACGCTTCCATTGTTTATACTTGCAAACCTATTGGGGCGAGTCTACGTTTAAAACACGGATGAAGTGTAGCTCTTTAGGTATTATTATTACCGGGTGTCCCAAAAGTAAGGTCATGATTTAAAACTTAAATATCTCGAGAAGTAAGAGTCCGAATGACTTCCAATTTTAACACGTGCAAGGTACATCCATAGAATTATTTTCTTGCATGCTTAAACCATTTTTGATCATAACTACACCGAGCAGTAGGCATAAAACTGAGAAGGTCGAAATTCAACTCTTAGAGAGGGTCCGTCATTAAAACAAAGGGTAAATACCGCCCAGTTTTCGGCCCTAAGCAGACCCTATCAGCTCGCCCTATCTCTGAACTCATGCATAGTTTCGCCTCAACCGGTAAAACGTCAGAAAAAAAGGTATAATGTACGCACAGGGCATGTATACTTAGCCACGTGTGCTTCGAGGTCCTGAGGACGACAGCGGGAATCGGGTGACAATAAATCAAGTGAGGTGGCCGAAAGTCCTCCCACTGGTTCTTCCGCTCGTCGCAACGCAGCTGTGCCGACACCATCAGCCAGCAGTGGTTTCAGCAGGATGGAGACTATGCTTGCACCGTCCTGAAGATCATGCATTGTCTCCGAGAGTGGATGTGAGATCCCGTAATTTTCAGTCAGGGCAACGCCATTGAATGGCCTCCGCGGTCACCTGACGTTACACCTTCATATTTTTATTCTCTGGATACACAACAGAAAGATTGTCTTTTAGGACAACCCAACGAGCCGGGAAGAACTAAAGGATGATCCCTTCGAGCAAACATAGGCGGCATCTCACCAGAGAATCGCTCCAGAATAGTGGAGGAAGTCAAACGTAGTCTATTCATGCACGCGGCCCAAAATGGTAGCCATGTAGAAAAGCAGCAAATGTGGGGCTACGAGCCAATGTATTGACTCATATGTATGTCAGAATAAAATTTTATAAAATGCTCTTTCATATGATGTCCTATTTATATCTATCCATCGCGTATTTTTGGCAGTGTGGCCAAAACAAATGATGACCTTACTTTTGGGACACCCGGTATTGTATTTACATATGGATATCTTGCCTGAAAATATTCGTTTTTTTTTTTTTAGAAAAAGAGTCGTGGCAAAGTTTAACTGACAAGTGGCTGCTTTGCCACCCTGGCAAATAATTTTTGTTTACTAAGATAAATATCTTCTCCGCTCCGTCGTATCTATCCTCAGGATGCCGAACTCCTTCTCCTCCACGCCACAACCCCATTCCGGGCTAAACAGGCAGCTTTATCCCTTGGAACGCTCCTCAGCTCCCAAGGGAGAACATCCGTAGCCGGGTGCAGAGAGTGCCTGTGGGGGGGGGGGGGGGGGCTGCTCAGCCTGTCCTTTGGGAGGGGCTCAGCCCCGGTGACTCTCTAGGGTGTCTGCCCAGTCCGGTGTCCCTCTAATTCCTAGCATCCTCCCGACCCTGAAATGGTCTTGTCAGACCGAAAGGGCCTAACCCAACAAAACAAATAAACGTGAAATGGAAAATGCTGCTTTTTTGCAATGCTATGTGTGATCTTTAATGTTTTACAGATTATTTGCTTGTTGCTAAAAAATAAAACATGCCAGTGTTCCGGCCGACCATCGGCTGATGGAGAGATTCCAGAGGGCCGCTCTGCTGAGGAAACAGATCGGGAAACTGGACCTAGACCTGGTGGAGCTGGTGGGTGACCGGGGTGGGGGGGGGGGGTAGATAGGCAAGTTGCACATTTCAATCATGTATTAATGTATTGAATGCTGGGCACACATCTGAAACAGAGACACACAGGTATATCAACGTTATGCCCGTCTATCTCCCCCCAAGTCTTTGGGAGCCTGACGGACAAAGACTCACAATCTACAAACTAGTAACAATATGCACTGCTGACATTACTGACAACTCGCTCGTAGCTACCAAACGAAGGTGACGGGAGTCGAAAGGCGAAGCCGCGAAGAGCAACGCGAGAGCGGACGCGGATACGGTTGATGCGCGTCGCTGAGATAGTACCGGCGGATCACTGCATAAAGTCAGGGTCACGGTATTTCGCGGGTTTGAGTGCTCGTCGCCGGCCGCTGCGACGCGGAGCTTGAGGCTCCGGGGACGATACAGGCGCAGGTGGGATATCAAGCATCGGTGGTTGCTGTGAGGGCGGCCTGTCGGACACCTCCCGCATCGGCGGTCGAGCGCGCTGCTGGTTTTGCGGGGACGCGGGGGAACGCGATGGGGTGCGAGGTGTGCGCACTGGGGCCGGAGACGGAGACTGCGTCGGTGATGAAGGTGTCGGCTCCATCTGAGGGGCGGCCGTCGGCCGCACGGGTGACTCCACCCGCGGAACCAGTGTCGGCGACGAGGGCGTCGTTGCCGTCCGTGGGGCATCGGGCAGCCGCGCAGGGGGTAGCTGACTTCGTTGTAGGCTGTCAAGTAGATCATCGAGACGAGCGCCGCGGCTGGGGATGACGGGGCTGTATCTCCGGAGAAACTGGCGGTTTTGCAGAGTGACCCGACCGCTCCCGTCGACACGCACGACGTACTGGTTGTGTTGACCGACCTCGATGATGCGCCCTGTTTTATCCCACTTTTTGGGATCTCGTCCAGTCTGGTTCTGTAAGCGAACTGTGTCGCCGACCTTGAGAGGAGGGAGCCGTTTGGTGTGTTCAGACCAGCGCTCGTGTGAGCGCATGTGCCGATTCCTCAGGGCCTCTTCGCGGGCGAGTAGAGTCTCTCTCCAGGTAGGATGAGGAAGGTACTGGCCTGGGTGGATGGGGATGAAATCTCGCACCGGGCGCCCGAACACGCATTGTGCCGGCGATAGTTTAGTGGAAGGATCGGGGGCGTTGCGGTACGTTAGTATCGCCCGTTGGAACTTATCCACGTCCAGCTCGCCGCTGTTGCCGGTGTTGCCCACAATGAGGCGTTTAATCGTCTTCACTCCGACTTCGGCCCGACAGTTGGCGTGAGGAAATGCCACAGAGGATAGTCGATGACGCACTCCCCAGGCTTCCAGGAAAGCCTCAGTCTCCTTTGCCGTGAATTCAGGGCCGCCGTCACTGGTGAGTTCGTCGGCGATGCCGAAGGTGGAGAACGTCCGTCGGAGACAGGCGATAAGTCCCTTGCTGCCGCCGCTCGCTCTCTCGACGACAGGCCAGCCAGAGTACCGGTCGACGACGACGAGATACGTTTGCCCCATGTATGTGAAGAAGTCAGCGCACACTTGCTGGAAGGGATATTCCGGCGGGTGAATGTCTTCCGGGGGTGCGCACGGTTGCGAAGGGGCGTTGCGGTTGCACGGTCCACATCGGTCCCGCATGGAACGGATGTCCGCCGTGATGCCTGGCCAGTAGACGCTCACGGCCGCTCGGGCCAGCATCATTCCCACACCTTGATGGGCGCTGTGCAGACTTGACAGCACCTCTCCCCGCAAGCAGGGCGGGACGATGACCCTCTGGTCGTATAAGACCACACCGTCGCTGGTGTATAGACCATCTCGAATGGCGTGGAAGGCACGGATAGCCTCTGGCATGTCCTTGCGTTGTGGTGGCACGCTGCCATCTTCGATCATCTCAAGCAGTTGATGCATCGCGGGATCGCTGGCGGTCGCTTCTCGGATGCGATCCCAGGTGATGGAGCGGAGTGTGGATACTGCTGCGACGGCGATGCTGCCGGACTCGTCGACAGTGGTGTCGTCGCGGAGGGTGAGACCGATTGCGTCTCCGGCGGGGTAACGGGATGTTGCGTCAGGAACGCGGTTCTTGACCCCGGGCACGTACCGAACTGTGAACTTGAAGCGGAGTGTTTTTTCCTTCAGGTTGCGTAGACGGGCGTTCGGCATATCAGCCAGCGACCGGTCGCCGAGGACCTTCAGCAGTGGCTTATGGTCAACCACGATGGTGAGATTGGTGCATCCCAGTACGAAGAATCGCGTCTTTTCAAGCGCGTCGGCGACGGCGAGTGCTTCGCCCTCGATTGGGGCGTACCGGGATTCGGCACCTGTCGTGAACCGGCTCCCCACCATGGTCGTCTTCCATCCGGTGGCGCAACACATGGGCGACTGGCTGTCACACGCACAGTGCTTTTGCAGGAGCCAGAAGCCGACACCTGTGCGGGACCAATCGGTAGCCAGGACGGTGGGCCTGTGCTTGTCAAAAATTTGCACTCCTGCGTTGACTTCCTGGATGATGATGCGTTTTGAGTCTTCGAGCAGTTGCTCGTGCTTCTCCGTCCATTCGAACTTGCCCGGTTTGAGCAGCTCGCGGAATGGTAGCATCACGTCAGCCATGGCGAAGGCGTACGACACGTGGTTCACCACCCCGAACCAGGCTCGCACATCAGTCAGGTTCTTCGGGGTAGGGAACTCGGCGATGCTCCTGAGGAACTCGCGGCAGGGTCGGACTGCCTCGGGGGAGATCTCAAAGCCGGCAAATTCCACGGTCTGCCGAGCGAATGTGAACTTGTCGGCGTTCAAGGTGATGCCATGACTCCCGCACATGTCGAGCCACTCCACCGTGCGCCAGAAGTTTTCGGTGATGCTGTCACCCCAGATCAGGGTGTCGTCCACGCACTTGGTGTATGAACCATGTGACTAGGACAGTTTTTGGAGCTGATTTCGAATTTAGCATTCAGTTTAACATTTGAGAAGTCATAGTTTCATTGCCTTCGTAACATGTTACGACGCCATCAGTGGTGGTTGACACCTACTATGGATAAGCGGCAGGACACCTACTGGTTGACCTGACCTGACCTGACCCGACC